CCCTCGAAGACCTTTGGTCACCCCCCGCCTCACTCGCAGCTCTCTCCTCCTACATAAGGGCAACCAAAACCGGGTTCCCCCCACAAATGGGCCCGCCAAAATCTCCACCTTATGACCTATCCTCAGACTCCGAACTCACCTCCCTTTCATCAAGCTCGGCCTAGGCCACCTCCACCCATAACAGGCCCAAAAAGCCAACTGTACGCACAACATCCTCGACACCGAAAGTGTTCTCTCGTCGCTCTCCTTACTGTCTCCTCTCCTATGTCCTGTCATATCACGCGTAGCTGGTACGAAAGTATACCGCCCCTGAGGGGGACGTCCGAATTTCTTTGTTTGCTGGCCAGTAGGAGGAATGTCAGGGTCTCTCCATAGCGTCTGCTTCATGTACACACGTTCATATTTGTTTTGTTCCGCTTTTCCCTTTGTCTTGTTTTCTTCGGCGGTTTGGTAGGGGAGGGGTGTTGTTCACGCCATAGCTTAGGCTCCATGCGATATTCTTGTACCCAGAAATAAATGAAACTATGATTTAAAAAAAAAAAAAAAAAAAAAACCCGGTTGCTCCGAACTTTATGCGGGCCTATTCGGTGGATCCATGGACTCACTCGCCCCCACCAGTCCCCATCAAGCCCTCTCTGCATGCACGCCCCACACAACGAGTTCTACCCTATTTGATGATATTATTCTTTGGCTACTAGAGTAATGGTGGGGCGCCGCACATTGGATGCCCATGGTCTATTTTAATATATGAATTTTTTCCTCTCTTAGCCACTAGATAATATTAATCAATCTTTTAGGGTCAATGGCCTTAGTTTAAGGATAAATATTGATAGATGTATTATTATGTAAACACTGAAAGGGAAAACGGTTCGTAATTTATTCGTTTCGGAAATGGGATGCCTGAGTGGTGCCCCCGCAATCCTAATTTCTAGATCTCCTCGTTCAAATTGACCAACATCCCCGGGCTTCATATTCTGAACTACATTATAAGTCTTTTTATAGTACATATCTCAATGCCCATTGGACCGGATACCAAAGAATTAACTGGTATACGTGCATAACCGTTATATCTCTTCGGCTATAGTTACAACTCGAGAGTTGATCAGATCAAAAGAACCCACGGTAGGATCCTAGGCCGAGTAACCGCGTATTCCACCCATCACGGATATGGGAACAGAGGGTAGATAGACAGATATCTCGATGTATGGTAGAGATTGGATGGATAGCTAGCCAGACACCCCCTCAGATTCTGCATCGCATCGACTTTGATCGACAATCGATTCAATTACTCTACTCAAACTCAGAGAGGGTATAGCTCCCTTCTATGTATACAACCTGTTAGCGTTAAGTTCGGTACAAGCTGCCCATATCGCATTTAAGCAGAGACTGTCAAGAGTTTTGTGACCTACTTTTTCTTTTCTTTTCCTTTCATATATCTATGAATTTGTACTCAAACTCTAGGGAACCCCAAATAAATACATAGGTTTAGAGGAGGGCGGATACCCCAATAATTCGGATGTGAAAGATTCCGGAAGCCTCAACTTGTCCCATACCTAAATTGGAAGAGTACACTGCAATACTATGGTTTTCAAACTTGAATATTGTATTCAGAAGCTTGTGCCGACCATGATTGTGCTTCTTGTAGCACAAACAATAAAGATAGAACAGAGTGCGTGTATACATCCCTCTAACTGACATCACTTGATTTTGTCTTTCAAGTGGCACGTGTCCTCCTCTTAGTGACATGGTAATCTTTATGCTGCGTACATGTACCTTAATATACATGTACCGATGCATATATATGGCGAGTGATTTCGCATGCTTTCTGCCCAGATCGAATTAGACTACATGTATAGAAATAATATATGTTATGTACATGTACCTACATACATGCACAGAATATTTCTCACCATCACGCACACCTTGTTTGGGGGCGTTAAAAGTACATGTAGCTATAGAACGTGTATTCATAAATCTTACCGTTCTAAAGTGACAGTGGACTCATGACCTTCATGTACTTTCCCACGATCTAAAACAAAACCTCTTTAAATGCTACCAGACGATTGGATGAACCGGTTAAACTGAGAACTACCGCTACGTGTATATACAGACTAGGCAGTAATTCAACGAAAAATGACTTGACGAGTGTTTCGAACCAACATCGCCCCATCCGCGGTCCCGGCGAAATGCAGACTCACGCCCATACGTACGCTTCTTCGATTTGAAAGGAATATTGGCTTCAGCTTGAAGATCATATGCATCTGTTGTGGGAAAAACTTGGGAAATAAAAAAGAAAGTTTGTGCTATTGATTCCTAAGTGGGTATTCAAAACTCTCAAAATATGGGTCACGTTACATCCATTGAACGCGATTTGCGAAATCCTAGTAATTAAGATCTGTACTGTATATACATACATACATACATGTATGCAATGGCTTCTGCTGCTGCTACGGCCCGCACCCGCAGCCCTTCGCTGCTTACGCTTAAGTGCACTGTCCTGATGTCGATAAGACCGACGTTACACCAAACTAGTGGGTCTGCATATTCGCCCTAGAAATGCCCGAGTAATTTCGCTTGATACAGCTTTATGTGGGGGAGTATGAGCACAGCTGCAGAAGTTGGCCAAATAGACCAAATTTACACGATAAATAATTTTATGCGCGCGGCCAGGATAATTGACCCAATAAACCTATCCAGCACGAAACTAGTAGTGAAATACGACCTATGTATTTCAGGTTATATTTCGATATCTAAGTGGATGTATCATGATCAGTTATAATGTACGTACATGTATTTAGTAGAGCCCGGCCATGTATGTTAACTTTCACTAGTACGTAGGTGAGTTTCGTGTAATTGCAATAATTGGGACGATTGGAATCTGGATGAAGGAAATATCACAAGCTTGGAATGAATTGTCTTTAATTAACTTAACACCAGCAAAATAAACCTAGTAGCATAATAATTTACTGTAACTGGCATTGAACACATCGTTATTCAAATGGTTAATAATTAACCTCTATAAATGTCGGTGGCTCTGGATCGATCCGGATTTACATATAGCCACACGCAACATCCAGCACATACAAGATTTAATTAATTCTGGCGCATCAGTACCAATTCTTCTTGAGCTCAAGGCCATATATGGATAGCTGCGCTAGATACATCAATTCCATTTGGAGCTTTCTTATATAAATTATGGGATATCCTCACCCAATAAGCACCGAGAATTCTTGGTAGCAACTTAATTAACGCGAGAGTATATGTATACGTTGCATGCAATTAATGAATTAAAAAAAAGAGGGGGGGGGGGGGCGTGCGAGTATACTGTTATATACATATGTACTTTGTATGCCCCCATCTCTTCCCAAAACTCCTCCCTTTAGCCCACAGGTGTATTATACGCATATACATTTCGATTTTACATAAGCTATTCGGATTGTGTTACAATGACTTGTGAAGTCTGTGGTGGATTTATCTGGCATAATGATGGTAGGCATAACATATAGGTACATGTATACATCGAATTTAGGGTATTTATATTAATTGTTAGCCAAAAACAAATTTCGCCAAACCCAATGAAAATTGTCTACGTATATAACGCAAGGCAATGCAAGCAGGGATCAAGTTCGTGTGTATACTTATGAAGACGACGACGTTGATCTACCTACTCCTGAAAATCTAGATCTAGAAACTCCGCCGGCTCAAATGTTAACGGCCGCATTACTTCCGGTCTTGTACTACGGGTGCCAGGGTAAGTCTGTAGACAGGTGGCGGTGCATAGGGAGGAGATTCCTTAATATTTGTTTGTGTGTCACCGCCACCTGTCTACAGACTTACCCCGGCACCCGTAGTACTACCATGTCCAACAACCTAACTTAGATTCTATTCCCTCCGTTACCAATTATAACTTCATCGTACTCTCAACCAAAATTTGCTTTTGCTTGCCGAATAATTGAAACAACAAGTTATTCTACGGACTGTAGTAATAGGTGTGCGAGACAAGACGAGATCAAATTCAGAGTGGCCTTGTAACCCAATAAGTAGGAAGTACCAAGAGTCTCAAGATCATGCCTCAGAAGAGTTTGAGACGACCGTGGTTCTGTGGTTTGACAATCAGTAATCATATACACGCTGATGCAATCAATCCTACTTTAATTCCTGATGTTTCCATGTCACGTGATCGTGGGGAATATTCCAGAATTTTTAGTACAGAACTACCTCCAAAAAAGAGAAGAAAAACGGCTGTGGTCTATCTCAAGACCATCACATAATGTATGTCATTTTTTTAGCAATTCCAGCCGGTCTTACCGGGTCTCGTCCTGATGCTCCGAGGCGGAGTCTCGGACTCTTATCTCGTACCTGTCGCCAATTCTGCTCCTAATTCATATCCCGCGTTCAAACATGCAAACCCGGGCCCCAAGGCACCCCCTGACATGATCTTCCTCACGCAAATACCCTTCTCCAATCGATCATACCGATTTGTTGCTCTTGGTTATTGCAATGATCGACCATATGGAAGGTATATCGAGTAAAAGCCCCAGATACCCCATGCGCTCCAAAATAGGCGTTGAATATGGTGCCAGAGAGAGGAAACTATACTTGATCGACTGCAATACCATACCGCACTGTATGTATAACCATATAGCCTATACTCATATATATAATAAGTGCCCATAAGTAACTCGTAGCATATACTCCAAGGATAGATCCGGAAACATCCTGTAGTACTGACTAGATTAGTTGGAAGCGGCAGGGTACAAGTAGGCACGAGTGATATCTTATGATGAATGCAAGAGACTCGAAAAGAGGATTCTTATGTTTACACGATCATATAGAGGATACGACTATATGACAGGATAAGGGGAAAGTATGACGGGGTAAGGGGAAATGCCTGCGTTATATTTATACCCTCACACGCATCGATATACCAAGAAATGGTTTGTTTCCCAACCCATCACTTGCGGCCTATATCCATTCACCACACCACACACCTTGCCAATTCAAGGACAGAGATTTTTCGGGCAATAATTTGCAACCTTCCCACACCATCTGCAGACCTCGGTAAGTCCGTCATCCTTCCCTTTTGCTGGGAGGAACTTCGAGCAAACGCCGCATCTAAACCTCGAGCGTGGCTTATTTTCGTCGCTCGTAATATGTATCAGATATGGCTCTTTGGCATTAGTGCGCTGCTTTCGTTCTTTTTTGGTACAATCTTTACAGATGAATCTGCACTTTGTGCTCTTGTCACATTTGCAACAGTCGCTAGTAGTGGTTTCTGGGAGTTTTGGGTTGCATTTCAGACAGATGCGGATTGTTCTTTTGGCTGTCTCGTGAACTTGCTCGACGTGGGTTACGGACCCTTGCTGAAATTCGGATTACTATCAACTCAGGCAGTAGCTGCACCCAGATTGTACTTACATGGAACTCAAGACGGCAGCTAACGCAGCATAGTAATAGACCATGGCAGAACTTGCATCTCTCTGTCGAGGTCTGGATAGCTTGCTTTTGCATGTTCTTGAGCGCAGCTTTATTGCAGGCTACAAGAGCAGAGACAGTCTTACAAGTAAGAATCAAGTTAAGAAGCTCGGCCTGCTCTAGCTGTCCTACTACCGAAACCAAAAGTGGGTACACTTCCAGGAAGCTGAAGAGGGCAGATTCGGACTGCGCCCCAATGGGATGCCTGGGGCAATACTTTTTCTCGGGCGTCATTTGCGTTAGAGAAAGCGCTGGTGGAGGTGTTATGGCGGAATTCATTTCTTGGATGGGTCGGTGTTGAATCATGACCTGTAAGTTTGTGATTGGGTTCAATATTTCGTTGACGGCTGGGTAACCAGTACACCAATCCTCTCCGTTGAATGGGGTACGTTGGATGAGGTACTTTGGGAAAGGACGTGGACGCGATTGGTGTCAGGGCTAGGTTTTCTATGGTAGATTGATATTTACTTAAGATTCGAATAGAAAAGTACTCGGTTAAACAGTTTTTCGGTGACAAGAAACTGATCAGCTGTGCGTTATATACACGTGCCCATACCGGTTAATAAATTCATGACTCGATACGATAAGACTCAACTTCAAAGCTCCTCCGCTACACTCTAAAGACCGGATGAAGAACCGAGCGGAGTACGTTCCCTTAGATTACTTATTTCTCTATCGATAAGAATAAGCAATGGGCTGGTCTCATGCCCAGGTTGCTGACTCTAGAACTATAGCATGCGACACAAATAACGAGACTAGCAGTGGTCCACATAAGAACTTGGAAGATAGGTATATGGATGACATGAATGTATATAATACATGTATATATGAAAAATAGAAGAGCCAGCCAGTACCAAAGAAAAGAAATATATAAACAAATGATCATGACAAGACAACGAACTTTTTCACCAAGCGATTTGCTACCTCTCCTCCCCGTTTATACTAACTCACTTCAAGACCGGTCCCTCCGTTTCCCCTTCCCCCTCCTCCCTCTCACCCTCCTCCACAGCCGCTGCCTTCTTTTTATCACCAGCGAAACTTTCATCTTCAACCAAAAGAAGAACAGGTAGCGCCCCAACAAATGTTACTAATGAAAGTACCCACCACGGAAGGATGAGGTAGCCAATCCTTTGGCCCAAGCTGAAAGTAAGTCCCCCAACCTGTTTTATTTTTCATAGTTAATAAAAAGAAAAATAGCATGGTCATGATCAAAAGAAGATTAAACTTACAGCTGGACCAACAGCCCTTCCCATAGCAGCTAAGGTCACGGCAATTCCGTTGAGTGTTCCGAGAAGACGCAAAGTTGGAGACGAGTTTGTTAATAATATTGTGCTGCAAGGGAATGCAAATATTCCCGCCATGCTCTTGACCATCAATAATGCAAATATCGCTGGTTGTTGTAACTTCTCGGGAAGAATCACAGCAAAGGGAGTGAGGAGGTAGATAACCGGGAACGCAAAAGAGCTAATTATTAGGCAGCGGAGTGCTCCTAGTTTATTCGTGATCGGGGGGAATATAAAGATCTTAAACAAACTAAGTCAATAAAGATTCAGACTGTGCTCTGAAGTTCTAGCTCACCTGCATCACCATACCGATCACCCCGTATATCGAGAAGAAGAATCCAACTTGCGAAGAACTCATACCAAAGCCACCAGCGAATTTGAAGGGCAGAAACCTATTTTCTGGGTCTTCAGGCGGGTAGGCCATAAGTACAGGGAGCATTTGATCAAAGGTGATTGAATGCAAAGCCAAGAGGCAGTAAACAAGCAGGTTGATGGAGGACTGGAATGTGAAGGCATCACGTATAGGAGGAGCACTTTGAGGCTTTGAGGCTTGTTGTCTTTGTGTGGTAGTAATCTCTTCATTTAATACGGACGAGCTCTCACTTTGAAGCAGAGATGTGGTTTCATCCGCGATATCTTTATGATTATGGGACCTTGACCTGAAGTACTTGATGATCTTACCCCCAAATCTGCGACCTACATCGGGCTTATCTCTCATGGTGTCAAGAGTTTCCTAGATATTTGAAGCGCGTCAATCGATATAGTTGGTGAATCCGAAAAATGAGATATCCTTCCTTACATCTAGAAAAAGAATGCCTGTTGTCAAACCGATCACGAAAAACATCGAAGCGACGATGTTTGGAAGGGAAAATGGAAACTTTTTAAAGAAGGCAGGAGGCTTTCCACTAAACCAACTGGGATGATTCGTGATAGGATCTGCTAAAAATCCGCCAAGTACAGGGCCAACTATCGACCCGGTAGTCCACTATTCATAATTATTAGTTTTAGACAAAGCATCACTCACTACCGTAGAGTGATCTAAAAATGGGCGCACTTACTATAAGAGGCATCAGGGAAAATGCACGGGGTTGTAACTAATGGTGAAACCGGTCAATAACTAAACTTACAACCTTTTCTTTTCCTTTGGGAGCTGAATATAAAGTACCTCTTTTTCAGGAACCATTTCTGCAATCATAGTCCGTACAATACCCACCTACAATGCATTTGAATTATTAGAATAAAGGTTTTGGTCTTTTTGTGGATTCTGGTTCCATACGTTCCCATTCACTAGTCCGGAAAAACACCTTGCAGCGATGGCCATCTTTATATTCGTTGAAAACCCAAATACCATCAGCGACAAAAGTGTTCCACTTAAGCCCAACATGAGCATTGGTTTTCTACCAAACTTATCGCTGGCTCTTCCCCAGAATATACCAGTGAAGAACTGGCAGAAGGAAAAGCTAGCGAAAGTTATCCCCACATACTTGGCAATCTCCTCTTGTGGGACCCCAAAGTGAGCGATCATGTAGTACTACTGAATATTAGACCCATATCATCCCATCAAAGCTTGAAACATGGATACATGTACTGACAAGGTATGGACTGACGGAGGTCATTGCTACTGGTTCAGCGAAACGGCATATTGCTAGACCCAAAAAGCAATTAGCTCCTCTACCATGCTCAAAGAAACCCATCCGATTCAATACTCACCAAGTATGACCATTTGGCTGATCACCCTCGGGGAAAACTGGGCGCGTTTTCGAGTCATGACTCCTTGATTGTGTGACCCTGGAGGCCGAGTAATTGTTGCAGAGGACGTTGCTATGAAATGCCACGAACTCTCAAAGCGAGTTCAGAGGAGCTTCAAAGGAAAGCACAGGAGGATCCTATCAGTAGTAATGGTCACTGTGGAGCTCGCTCGGAAGAAGAGGAGAGCTCGATTACAAGGAGGGAGGTGGTGTGCGTAGAAGAAGTGAGAGAAGTCTAGGGATATAATATAGTCTGCACTTGAGAATCCACTATGCATCATCTACGGGGCAAAGTGCCGCTTCGGCACGGCCCACCCAGTAGAGTGACTTGTAGGTGTCTGTAGGTAAGCATGCATGTGGCCCTGTAGAGTACCTCCTACTCTACTATTCCTGCCACGATCTACGCATCTACAAGCGCCAAATAGTAAGTACATGTAGGTACATTTAGCCCTAGTTAAATATTAGGGACAATGATCTCGGCGACGCAGTGAAAGCCAGAAAACCTACAAAGACTCGCATTTGTTTGAAAGCAATAAGTTCGAAACACTACGCTCCTTCTGGGAAAGGCTCGGATATCGGGTAGATGCAGGCCCATGCGGCTCATGCATGTCGGAAGGCTTAAATCGCCGTCGGGGATAGAGTAGAGTGAGTGAACTAAATGGGGTGTTGACTGGTGTGGATCCGTTCACTCACTTAGTCCCAGAGCCTTGTACATGTATTTCTCCCCACGGTCACTTGAGGATGCGATACTCCTCTAGCTCTACAAATATCTACGTGTAAACACATACCACCTATGGGAACTTGAACAACAACCGGCGCCAACTTGGTTCTGGACACAGAGCACGTACATACATACCTCCGTGCACTTTCGGCACCTGGAGCCAAGCCGGATAACACTCAGTGGCGCAATTACTCGCGTCAGGGAAAAAGAACCAGAACATGCAAGTGAGAAAGCAGGGATTATTTGTATGGAGTGGCGCTGAGCTGCCATACAAACTAGGCATTTGCATGTTCTGGTTCTTTATCCTAGACGCGAGTACAGATGTCGTTTATGGGGTTAACGCATGGACTGCCCTGCATTGGTAAGCAAACCCCCAATCATCAACGCCCGCGGGGTGATCACCACCATGGATGTGAGGTTGATTACAAATCAAGCCTGGCCTATCATTTGCAGTGCCGACTGAGATCAAGTAGATACCGATAAGCAATCTACAATTTGTATTCTCCAAAGATGGGTCCTGATATGTCGACAGCCATTCTGATGAAACTGAAGAACGACGTTCTAATTCAACTAGACGTATGTGTACCGGTACTAATCATGAAGCTAGAAACAGGCTTCTCCTTTGGTTACATGCGCAGAGTTAAACTTTTAGAATATAAACGCTCGCTAACCTCATGCACGTGTCCAACATTTGTGTCCCCCGACATGTCGAATCCCTCTGGCCTGCCAAAGTAGGAGGGGTCAAGCTCGGCTCATGACCAGGTGGTTACCGTTGGCTCCGGAATTGACCCCCTGACAGTGAGAGGGTTCAAAGATTCAGGGAAGGATTCTAGATAATCTCGACAAATCATTTCCATCGCTGGCTACAATGAGGAGTGTTATCGCCTGTATGGCCCGAGGTTGATGCGTCACAGAATCTCGCTCGCACCTGTTATCTCAAGCTTGTTGATTGCTGCCCCCCTATAATAGAGAAATTAAATTTATATGGGAGGTCTGTTATTTGATAAAGGAAGATAACGAGATCTGTTAGTAAAGCCACACCAGATTTGCTTTTTCTTGGGGGGGCAGCATTTTGTCGACAGACGAAGGAATAACCAATTAATTGTTCCATTACTAATAAACCACCTACTCTATGGCTCACCCCCTACCTATTGCGTGTGATACAAGCTATAATGTATCTACATACCCGGCCCTATTTTTCTTTGGAAAATTACTTATTGGTCAAATCAATGGTGAACGGTAATTCCTTGTCGATATATGATAACGAGTTGGGCGGGTGGGTACGCTTTTGTTGAATGTAATAACATTTTTGTCATTGAACAGGATTCATCTTTGACCCAGGTCGAATAGCCGTATTTCTGTACCTTATTCTGCTCCAATAAATAAGTATTTACATGTATTTAATGCTCTGCATCTCATAACTTAAAGTTGGATAAGGGGTATGAAATTCCCGCATACAGTAGCAGAACGAAAATTGCACTTTAATTCTTATGTCATGTAATTTAAGGATGATCCTCTACCAAAAGTAAGTCTTTTTAAAATGGGAGCCATGTTAAAATTGTATAAAATAACGTGAGAATATCGAATAGTACATCTCTAAATTTTCCCGCGAAAAGAGCCGTCAGCCTTAATAGGACTTGCTACGTACTCTGGACGTAGTCAAAATCAGAAAGAGATAATCGAACTCCTACTTTTAAGAGGAAATAAAAAGATCATCGTGTTCACAACTCTAGAAGATGGAGCCCGGGCATAAGATTACCAACCAGTGTGTTCTCCCGGTCAATTTAATCTCGAGAGATTACTATTATGTGGTTAGCATATAAGATAACACGGCATAGAACTTCAGTCTATCGGCCGGGAGATACATGTATGCTTGAACGGCAACTTAGATATAAGCAGAAATGCGAATTACATGTCAAGAGAATTCTTAGATTAAACCATTCGTTCAAAACTAAACCTGGCAACTTTCCGGCCCTCGCCGGTGTTTACCGGGGGCATATGATGTGTCGGGGAGTCGGTTGTACATGTGATGGTATACGTGCACAATGGTTGAACAGTAGACGTTATGGTTGGACAAGGAGCACTCGATTGAATCAGAGGGTAGACATGTATGTGGTTATCTTCGATCTCTTCGTATGTCTGATCTACACGCGTCTCTACATATGTACTCTAAATCTGGATCTCACGCAGAATAGCATGCATTTGGGGCAACACATACATATGAGTGCGTACTCTACCTGTTCAACCAAGACTCAAAATATATAAGTTAGGACTTGTTATTAGACTATATTTTAATGCACCTTACAATATTTTTGCACGGAGACATACATGTATGCAATCACTACATGTGGCTATGAAGCCTAGATTGGTAATCTCTTATCGAGTGATAATTCATGACGCAGATCACCACCCCCATACATGTAGCCACGCAATACAATACCAACTACACCGTGTATACCCATGTAATCAATTTTAAGCAAAAAAAAAAAAACTTAAACTTTCACTACACAGACTGCCAAGCGAAGTGATACAGAGCATCTCCTCACAAGTTGCCATCACGCACCGCTGTCATCATCAGCAGCTGCACTGCATTACTCCGTCAATCGCCATCTACGAATGAATAACCCCGAATACTCTATCAATAATTTACTTCAAACTAGACCTACCGGTAGTTCCCACAAATTGGCCACAGGAGTCATGATGGAAGACCACAGAGAAGCAGTCTGTTACAGCCTTAGATCCCTCACCTTAGGCCTGGTCTACACGGCGTCCGTATCTATCGAAACCGTTCTTACTCAATGGATCATCGACACCAAGCTTCGTCCCAGCTCTAACCTGGCACCTCATTCGAATAGGCCCAGAGATTCGCTCATTGATTTCGAACTCCCTTTTGACAGAGGGGCCAGAGAACAACCGATAGTATGCCTCTCTGTAGACCCTAATGCTGGTACCTGGGTAGGCTGTGTCTTTTACACACTGGATGAAGCTCGTAACTGCGCGGAGATAGCCAGAAAGATGGGATTGCCGGTGAAGGATTTCAGAAAACTTTTGGTACGGACCAAAGCCAGCCAAAGCATCCAATCTTCTGATTTCTTGATTAATGTTCAACATGACCCGGATATTCCTTGGCCAAACCACCATGGATTCAATGGCCAAGAAGAGAATCCGGGATTTTATATGTTTTGTCTACCGGCCACCCTTCGATTTCCTCAAAACGGCAGCTTGAAGCTTTACCTGCCGAAGGTGGTAGGAACGGCGGATCTTATACCAGCTTATCCGTGTCCCAGTTTCATTGTCGATCCAGCCACATTCGAGGGTATTTGGGATTACATCCGGAAAACGAAGGAATCTTTGGGAAAGAGACTCGAGTCCAAACTTTGGAGGAAAGTTGGCCGTTCCCGTGTCAAGGCAACTGGGGATAGAGGAAAATTGGAAAGTAGTGGATACGGAGAGCCAATGGACATTGACAGTAACGACGGGATTGACAGTAACGAGGAAGTGGGACAAGATAGTGGCCATCAAAGGAAGAGAAAGCAGGAATATGAGGACGGGGAAGCACAAAAAAAAAGGAAACTCATTTCCGGTTAATTTGAAAAACCAAGCCTTGAATTATCTTGGTATGTACCTGATGCAGATCAAATTGAAAACGAACTAATTATAACTCTGTTCTCTATATAGGTATACACCGGGTCTTAACGGGAGGATGAACTATCCAAAATTTTATATACTTTATTCTAAGAGATTGCTTTTTAGCTAAGCTTACGTGGAAGCTCATGGAAACACCAGGGCTCTATTAGTAATAGATATGTGACAATGGAGAGCTTGCGAGATTCATGTCCATTGTTTGAATGGGTACAGCGTCATAGTCAGGTGTTTCAGTTCAATACTACATGATCTACGGCCTCACACTAACCAAGTGCTTCACTTCACCACTAATATAGGCAGCCGTTAATCTCTACATACATGGAGGTTCAAGTCGTCCAGCTAGCCTTTATTTGATAATATGTTGCAGAAAATTAACTGAAATGCCAGGGATAAAATGTATGTATTTCAGAGGGACCTGTAACTTCTTAGAAACCATATAGGGGTTACTAAGCGATGCTAAGTGATAATTGGTGATTCTAGACTGTGTGGCCTGTTATGACCCCGTCACCTCTGATCCCACTCTTAAATTTCCCTATTCCAATTGATGCTTTATACAGCTTAAAGTTCTCTTGTGTTTGGAAGCTCGGTATAATTAGAATGATAGGGTTTCCCCTATTTTATATAAAAATACATGTACTTGTAGATTAAAGTGGTATCATTGTACTGCTGTGTGTATCCGGTACAGTGACCTAAGTTGAAACTTATTTCAGATAGGATATATGTAGTACCTGGAATTACCAAATTACCCTTATTAGAGCGTATTTGACAACTGTCGATTCCGACAATTGACAGTTCGCCGGCTGCAATAGCGGTTTGCCGAACCGTCAATTTTGATTGATGAGGGTATCGGCACATGGTACCGGAACTTGGAGCTGGACTCTATCAATGCGCAAAAGGCCTTATGTCTCGATCTCGTCACCACTGATAATGGTCGAGATCTAGTAAATAATTTGAGAGTTCGTGAAGTATAATGTCAATTTTGCGACCCGCAACTGTCAAAGCCGAACAGTCAATTGCCGAAATCGACAGTTGTCAAATACGCTCTATTTACAGCTGTTGTGCATACATGAATACATGTAAACATGTATCTATAAACCTACTAGCATTACACGTAATATACACATAGACTCTACATGTAGCTCTCGAATCAGGAAAAAAGGAGAATCACATAAAATTTATAACCATATCAGTAATATTTATAATAAAGGAATACGACCGCAATTATGACTAATATGAATTGCGCTCAGAGGTTAAAAAAAAAAAAAAAAAAAAAAAAGCCAATCCCAAATACCACCAACGTGGCTAGTATGTAGGAGTTTATTGACTTACTATGGCGCGAGAAGGCATAGGGGGTGGGTGTGTCAACTTCAGAGGAACTTTTTTTGTATGGGAATTAGAGAAAATTCCACCATCAGGCTAGGCGCTAGTACCATTATAGGGGTAGATCTCCCAATTCCTATAGATTGATTGGCTGCAAACGCCGAAGTTTACACATCTACCCACCATAGCTTCTCGAGCCATACAGAGTCTGGTAGAATTAATGCGAAAGTCAGCGCTAAAGGAGTGGATTTCTTGGTCCGTGCTCACAGCAAAGGTCGTTTCAAGAGCCAATGGGACTATCGGGTCACGGAGAACCCACTTTCGCAATAATTTTACCAGATACTGTACATGTAGGGCTTTGTTGACGCATGTTCGTTGGCACAGCAACGAACATTTGTCACCCGAGAGATTGCACGCGTCGTCCTTTGAACCTCCTTCTAACCATTGAATTGAAAGAAAAAGCAATAACAATGTCAATCCTTCTCCAAAGGTGACTATCTTCCAGCTTATCGACATTTATACTGCCGTTTGGGTGTAATAGCAGAACTGTCACAATGTCGGTAAAAACATCTATACCCATAAAGCAGGTTATAAACCTCATCTCCTCTTCGCCACCCCACCGAGTGCCATCTCCAAGCAATGATTTGGTGTCCTCTCCGCTGTCTTCGCCGAGCTCAAAGTTGAAACAATTCAGTATGACAGGAGCTTCGTCAAAGGTGGGCATTGCTCAATCTCCGGATAAAGGAAGGACTGAGGGTGAGGAGCCTTCGGTTTGGGATGTATCCAATGATGCAGTGGAAGACCAAGGAAAGGCTTCACCACCGACGTTACCTCCGGCGAGGAAGAAACGGGCGGTCAAGGCTACAGAAGATCCGCCGGCATCGAAAAAATCGCGGACTCCCCACAAGACTAGGGATAATTCCAAAGTCGAGAGGAAGAAAAGGCCATTGAAAGATGGGAAGTTGAAGGCAAGGGTCGTCAAGAGTGCAACAGGACCCTCAAAGTCAAAGTACTTTGCAGAGCAACAGGAGGGAGAGCTTAGTATATCTGGACCGTCTGTAAATGATTCGAGTCCTTTTCTGGACAATCCAGCTCTACAGGATGTTTATAGTAAGCAAAGTACACCTACACAAGAATCGCCCAGCCAACAATCAGCTCTAAATCCTTCCATACCTGTAATACGACGGCAATGGACGCCCGTTAAGAATACGACTCTGAGCGTGGATAGTCCATCCCCATTGATGGGTGGTGAGGTCAGGAAGTCCAAAAGGTCTGCTTTCGACGATATGGTAGGGGTTATGAGATATACGACAAATTCACGCCAAAGCTCTCAAGAAGCTCTAGTCGGTAAGGAAGATGTCATCTTCGCTAACAGTCTAAGAAATAAGAGGCCATTGGAGGTGAGAAGAACCAAGAATGAGTTTATCTGATATTGGAGCCTTCGTTCAAGTAGAGCGAGTTCCGGTTTTCAGTAACCTGATTGGTGCCAATCCTCTTATCGTCCTACCAGGTTTCAGAAAACTGGAGCTAGTTCTGTTTGCGCGAGGATTCCACTTCGTCCTTTGAACTTATGCTAATGTAACGCTCTACAGATAATTGGTCTCCCAAGTACCGCTATGATAGCTAAGGAGAAACCAATTAAGTTATCAAAACAAAAACAGCCAAAGAAGAAAGCGAAAACAATTACCGAACACGCTACAGCTCCGTTTCGTGAACCCGTAGATTCTCCGATACTAGCTTACTTCGAAATAAATGAAAGTGAAGAGACGGACCCGAAAAAGGTCTCACGGAAGCGTGGATCTCCAGCGATGAAGAAAAGAAAACCAAGCCCAGAAGTAGTTGTCCTTCTAAGCCCAACGAGTGCCAGAGAAAGATTCGATTCTCAGGAGTTCGTATTTGGGACTTCCTCGCAATTGGAGAAAATAGGTGATAACAAGGGAACTCACGATAGCCAACTTCAAATCGGATTTGACGATCAAGACGATGATTATAATCTCCCTCCACCCTCCACGTCAGTTTCTCGAAGAGGTTTTCTAAAATCTCTTGCAAAAGAAAGGAAAGGTGGGAGCATCTTCAGAGGAAATGCAGGAAGTAACAATATCAGATATGATGAAAGTGGGGTGAAGATGACAACCAGTCGTGTGCGAGAGCAACCCCATCAAAATGCACTTGAGGGAAGGAGTCAGTTGGGTAAAATGCGTCAAACAGCTAGTGGGCTGTGGGATGCTGCAGCAAGGGATCATGATGGCGAGCTGATGTCTGCGGAGGTTGTCGACATGACTGGTATCGATAATAGTCGCCCAGAATCGGAAAGAGGTGGGTGGAACGAAGTACGCACAGTTCGCGAGCTGCCAGGAGATGAAAATGTGACCACGGGGTCGAACCCCACTGGAAGACCGGTGTCCCAGAATGACCCCCTAGATTCGTGTCATGGCCCTCACCGCGAGCCCTTGCTTATTCAACATGAGAGCAGCGGAATTCAGATGATAGAGAGCTCGACGGAAACCCCGCACATAGCAATCTCAAGTTCCCGAGGTGTTACTGCATCTCTTGAAAGGTCAACCAAATCAGCCGGGGGTATGACACCAACTGCCTCAGTTAGAACCAAAACGGAAAGATCTACTGGTTGTGAAAAAATGAAGCTTTTACCTCCAATGCCTGATTTTCTGTCACATTCAACGGCTAGGCTTAAATTAGATGTAGCTAAGTGTGGCTACAAGGATATGAAGACGCGAGGCAAAATGGTTTCATGCCTGGAAACTAGCTGGGAAGCAAAGAACAAGGCCGCGACAGCACAACTTATGCCACAGCAGCTCGAGGCCAACGCAGGACTAGTTCAAAATACCGCTGAACTTTCTGAAAGGGGTCTTAGTGGGGAAGAAGCAGCACTGGTCTTGCAGGATGCAGTATCAACTGAAGTCGTAGCCAAGGGAGGGAGGAATACCAGAAAGCCCAAGCGCAAAACTGCGTCTAAAAGCAAAAAACCTTCAAAGATTTCGTCACATGATAGCGGAGAACCAGTCTCTGTCAATCCCTTGGCAAGCGATGTTCATCGTCTTATTTCTGAAGCGGTTCAGGAGTCTGGAAGATTGCATTCCGAATTTTCGTTTTATCATGCAATATTGATGTATGATCCCATAATTCTGGGGGATATGACATTATGGTTAAATGGGAAAGAGGAGTTCAAAGGCTTGGGTGTTGATGAGGAGGTGGTGAAGGTTTGGTGCGAGTCCAAAGGGATTTGTTGTGCGAGGAGCGAAACTCAAGCCGGCAAAGAGAGAACTAGAAAATAACTTTGGGTATTTTTCGGGATTAATGGGGAAATTATCATTGGGATTTCTTGATTTCATCTTGTAAGAACATGGGGAAATGCTACTTTAAACCCCGTATACACTTACCTGTATCACGATAATTGAAGACGAGAATAAAGAGTTTATCTTTATATTGGTGATTTGACAATAATTACATTAAATCTTGTACGCCGGCACCCTCAACATATTATTAGAACGAGGCAAAGACATTCTCGTTCTATCATAAACACGGCACTATTAAGAAACTGCTGCTCCTTTGGGCCATACATACATACCCAAGAAAAAAGAACCTAGAAATGTCCTTTTGGCCTGGTAATAGGGATCTATGATCCGTGCCAATCCATTATGTATTACTGGGCAGCCAATGCTATACCCTTGGTTAAATGCTCTTTAGGTGGCTGATATATGTAAAATCCTTGGCGGTGGCCATTTTTGACCAGTAAGAAGACTGGCCACTACTATGCATGTTGAGCTCTAGATCTTACCAATATTCACAATAATTATTCTACTGGTCCCGCACAGAACACACTATTTGTCAGATCCAACCAAGACCGAATCTAAGTGGCACCAGGGGTAAGTGAAGCTTAGAGTCCTCACGTTATATCATAAGTGTAGAGATCCCTTATGAATTTATGCATACAACTCGCTGCTATTCATTACCTGCTTGCATGCAACCACAGCAAAAAGTCAAGAAAGGTGGGGGTCCACTGGCAAAAGCCACATTATTTAGGTTTTTAACGGAATGTTACACTTGCACAAACCAAATGTATATGCGACACCCCTACTATTGGATACATTGATACATGTAGTATGCTACACAGTACTGTTCAAATTGGTATTACCTTACACTACCCCAGGCATTGCGGCTCTGCGGGTACCTGCAGTGGCACCTCGCTTGGGTGTCCCTTGCCGGATACTCGGGGCAGGTAAGAAGAACCTGAAAATGACTTTTGATGGTAACAACCTCTGATTCGCGGCTGGCGAAAAGCTACACCAAATTGAGCACCTGCTTGCAGCTTGCATTTTCAGGTTCTTATTGCCTGCCCCGAGTACACAGCCAGTCTCGGGTGCTCCACATTGCCTGTGGTTGGTTAGCTGGGAGATTAGCTTTCGTCCTTTCTAAGCTCTAACAAACCACAACCACAGAAACTGCTCAGTGTCGATCACGATCAACAGCTCCTTTTCTCGCATGTTATTCTTGCGTGATAATGATAGAACCATGGCTAGGGCAGGGAGTTATTGTTGGACTCTCGATCCCCCTGAAGAATAATGAGAAGGGAAAAAAGAAGTCGTCAGCGTTTCGTAAGTTTGTTTTTCACCCGATATAACAGGCTATTATGTACGTGCGTGTTGAACTTTATGTTTTCTGATATTAATAAATCCGAAAGACTACATGTAGTTTACGGGCCCGCCTACTAACAAACTAGGTTATTAGACATTAGATCTTCGTATTCCTTCCTTTAGATCTCCCGGGTCGAAAGTTCATTTAACAATCAATCCAACAGTTTGTACGCCTTATGATATATTTTTCTACACCCAGTAGGAAGCAAATACAGTCATATGCCTATCGGAGGACAGAACCTAGAGCATATTATAATTGAAAGGAACACTGCTGAGGAACGATGTAGGGTATGTTTCCTTCTTCTCTCCTCACATTGCAACAGCTAGAAGATCTACTGCTATCGCCGGAATCGTATGTTTCCCAGTGATAGTGAGACGAGTATCTAAACTTTCGCAGATCTCTTCTTTTTTGCCCCCACATTGACCCTGATCCAGAGAAGTCATTCCCGATCATTGATCTGATCACTCCATATCTCTGGGCGAGTGATAAGTTTGCGCCATAGGCCTATAGCTATCGTTGCTATCAAACACCTTCGGACATCAATCCCAATTGTCTCACTTGACCCAGTACCTGGCCGAGGCCTCAATCTCTATCATGAGGAGCTCTTTGTTGATGTTTTTTGAAGGCCATTATCGGCTAGCTAAAGCATCGCATACATGTATGTATACGCCAACATTAGTGGGAATGTAAATCAATTGTTGGACCTTCGATTACAGGACGAGTACATCTAGCGCTTGGCCTGTTGGGAGTTGGTGACGATAATGAGTCCTAGAGTTAACTTTCCGCTGACCGCCTGAACCGACACTATCAAAATTGCGGATATCTGTCGACCAGTAGAGTTCTTTGACTCTTCCTCTCCTGTCTTTGGAATATAACGTAACTAACTACCGAAACATCGGGTTATCGTACGTAGTGTCACTGCACGCAAAGGCACAGTCCATCCACTACTCTACCTGTCAGGTGACAGCGCGGGCTGTTTGTGATGCAAGCGCGTCATCTTGAAAGGAAAGGAAAAAAAAAGAAGGAAAAAAAACGGGTGGCCCAAGTTTCACTAGATTACAGAGTCCTAGATAGATGGGATGTGTGACTTTGGCCACTGCACAGGCGGTACGGTAGGACCAGACGAACGTGACCCTCTGAGACAAGATTTTATTATCATTCCTTCGATTCCATCGATCTACCTAACGGTGGGAACACACTTCGTAATGTTACTCTCTAATTATAACCACGAACAGACTCTCAGAAACATTGGAATAAAATTTAAAATCAAGTTCTATATCAACACCAACGGGACAAACGGCTCAGAGTTCTTTCTCCGAAAAGAAAAAACTAACCGCCTGTTCTTTAAGCGGGACAGATCCATTCGGATCCTTTTTCTCCCCAAGCACTCGTTCAACTTCCAGCGCGCATGTGAGCTTAGGCGTATGTAGGAAGCCAAATTGGCCTGGGTGCAACTTTCTGAGGAGGAAAGAGGAGTCGGAGAGAAATGCACAATTTAAAGGGGCCGGGTAGCCAAGCCAACGCGGCGAAATGTCAATTGTGGGGACAGGAAGGGCCAATAGGAGTAATCCATTAGTAATGTGCTGGGAACAGCATGTCCTTCCGCTAACTTCATTAGTAGCCAGTCACAATTCTACGCCGTGTTTAATATATGTCAGAATGTGCACTCTTAAGTCTCACTTGACGCAAGTTGCAACCACTAAAAGTCGATTTGGACTAATTTTGGGTAAGAATTGAACCTAGAGATCACCCTTCAGATGCCTAGCAAAGCCTCCTTCTATCATGCTAATATATTCTGGATTTTAAAGGGGTCCTGGGCGTCTGTAGATTCTTGTCATTAAATAATCTAGAAAATGTGTAATTGTCTCTAATTATTCTAGTTCCCCGCTAGAGTTTCAAGGTATGCTTCCTTTGGACCTCATTGAAACATAGCCGGATAGTTATGCTGTAACTGTAAAAGGCCATCCCTTGTCCTGGGTCATGTCCAATGCTTGATGTCTTGAATTCTTAAAAAGACTTCCTATCCGAATACACAAGAGAGGCGAGGGGCCGGTCTCCAATGGTTAACGGGGATCCCGCATCTACGGGCCCCAACTCCCCCTTCCCTTTTACCCCACTCTCCTGAGAACCGGACGGCGAGCAACGTGGGCTGGATAAACAGCTGCAAGTGTATGCCTTATCAAGTAAAGTGGCGCGCACGGGCAAGCCTTAGACTCAATGTCGTCAACTAGAAGAGACCTGGTATCCATCTCATTCATCCAATAATAACTCAGGGCTGAGCAAGGACTTGTTTCTCCATGAGGCGCAACTAAACTAAGCCAGTCCTTAGCTGAATCAAATATTTAAATTTCGCAACTCCTTTAAATAACCGGAAAACTTTATCTATTAGGGGATGTCAAGGAAACTGGTGAACCTCCCCGGAAAATGTGTTGTCGACTGCATTGCCCACATAGATTCATTACTCAACGGTAGGAAAGGAGATGAACCCTCCAGACACCAGAGCCTTGATTGAAAAAAAGAAATGAACAAGAACCATCATTATCCATTATAAGACGTTGATCTTAGTAACCTTTAAAGTTAGGTGCATACATACATACGCAGAGCTTCTCGTGAATTTTTTGGGTCCTTATTTCTTTTTATTTCTTTAATTTAAACCGGGTTAGGGTGTGATGTGCTTTTATGTATGTATCCCAATGTTCAGGTAACGATAACGTAGGAAAGAAAGATCAGCGGGAAAGCTTGCATGAATTTAAGGGGCTTTGTTTTAGTTATCAATTTATGATCCAAATGAGTACTAAAGTATCGTTGCTGAACGCTTAAACCTGCTTGCTCATGTCTTCGGAGCACTGCCGAAGATCTCAGATTTGCTGGTTGAACCAGTGGCTCCACTCCACTATGATATGTTCCTAGTGAATCTAGCAAATCATGGGGCCCTTTTGACGATAACTCAAAGTTGGATCGACTCAAATATACTGCCCAATCAAAAAAGTGATCACACAGCGAGTCTTCGAAAATACATACGTCGCTTTGACCAAGCGGGTAAATGTGAGTGATTTTTGGTGATTCCATGTATGAGGTGTTCCCCCTGATCCAAAAAAAAAGTAATAAAACACCAAAAAGTTCGGCGAATGAATGAGGAAAAGATTGGATGCGTTAATCCCCTAGCGCACGGAAAGTTGAAATTCGTTCGAGTAAGTTGAGATATCTGCAACGGTTACAATGCCGAAGCCCCCGCTGACCGCTCAAGATTTAAGCCACACGGCTCCGGATCGGTGCCGCGGAAATCCCATTCTTGACCTGAGCGGTGACCTCAGTATGATCGTACATACTGTGAATCGATGTCTGGAATCCAGACTTTGGTTCCCAAGAGATCGCAAGTATTTTCGGCCCAGTAACCATTCGGGTGGGCGGTATGGTGTGTGCGACTGTCGTTGAGATAGGCTTCCCACTGAGCATGGGGCGGCGTAGAGGAAATAATATGAACATAGCTTTTTATTTTTGCGGTAGCGATATCCTCGCACACCGAGGGGTTGGTTGGTCCATCCCTGTTTTATTTCCAGTTCTTTGTATAAGCTCAGATGCATGTAGGTACTCTATGTAGGTGATGCGTATTTGGTAAATGCGTGTATGTGTGTACCTACCTAGGTTCTAAAAAGTACGTCTTCCTGCAGGGTATTCGTTGTTGGTTGTTGGGTGGATGGATGGATTGGATATGTACATATATTGGTCTTACTCATAAAAAAGTTCCACAGACACAAGGCTTGAGAAACCATCCAGCCAAGGGAGACCGAGCTTTTAAGCCTGAATAGACAGGCAACTCGCATTTGAAGAGAAAAAGAAACAATATGACCACATCGGGATGATTGTTGGGAGGTGTGAGTAAGGTAGAGGTAGAAACCTGCAGTACTAATGGTAGAGTAAGAACAGGTTTCTAGTGGTTGGGTACACATGTATGGTGCATCCATATGTAGAGGTATGTAGGTAAGTAGGCTGCTTGCTTGCTTGCCTGCCTGCCTGCTTGCACTCTAGGTACTACTTTGATGGATGAGAAACACACGTCAAACCACCTTCCGGGGAGCAGATCAAGGCCAATAGATTGCATGAGGCTACATGGTGTTGTGCTGCAGACCGCTGAAAAGGAGAAAGCGTTTTGTCCCAGAGCGCGGGAGTGACGAGACCTCAGACCTGTTGCTGCGGGTGACTGTCGCTGGGGAGCCCTGTGTGGATGTGTTTAAGCAGAATACCGCGCCCAGCCACCTGTCCACGTTCGTCTTGGCTAACCGTCTTGCAATTTCGTCCCCAACGACAAGAGTAGGGGGCTGCTGACTGGTAGCAGCAACTCCAGTCCCTCTTCCTGCCATATTCTGTCGAACACGGAAAACGCCGTCCTCGCCTCTGCCCGCCTGCAGGCCTTCCGACTTCAGTAGCAGCAGCGCCTTACGCATAGTAGTACTCTGCGCGACGAAGAAGAAGACGAAGAAGACGAGAGGAGCAGGAAGAGTAGGTAATATATTTGCAGTAGTGATAGTGATAATTCCCGGTACTTGACCCGCGATTGTGGATTGTACTGTTTTGTTACCTACATACTGAATTGGCAGTACTGGTAATCGGTCGGCTTCCCATTCCTATTGATTCCTATCGTTCACTTCATTACTACTACTACTACTACTACTACTACTACTACTATACTGCTGCTACTACCACTCTGCTACCACCACTACTACCGCTGTACCTCTCTCGCAACTCTTACGTTCTCAATCTCACTTACCCTCACTTATTCTCGATCTCACTCATTCTCACTAACTCACTCGCTCCCAGTACACGTCGTCATTCACTCACAACCTGCCATTCATTTTCCCGCTCTCTGCTCACTTGTCAATCTATAGCGCCTCCTGCTTGCTACCCGGTCCAGCGTCGCCGTTCTGTGTCAGCCCTCCGCTCGTTCAACTGTAGGTACAATATCTTTTTTTGAGTCCTTTAAGCCCTGCCCGCCGCGTCACCTCATCCTCAGTCGCGGTCGGGACTTGACTGCGTTGCGTCTGCGTCTGCGTCTCTCCTCTCACACGCTCTCACTCACTCCCAAAGCGGCTCTCCAGTCGCCCTAACGTAGTTATCCCCCTCCCCCACACGTCTTTCATATTCAACCCCCCCCCCCCCTCTCCACCCTTCCACTCCCCCACGGACGTGCTCCTTAGTGGTGATTCAGTATCCAGCTGAGGCATGCTTTCTGGTGCCTCTAAGTCATAGCCACGACGATAGAACCTCTCATACTTTCAATCCCACCCCCCTACCCCCCCCCCCCCCCACGCACAGGCAAGATTAGCCCTTGTTCTTCTCATCTATCCACCCCTCTCATCTTCCTCAGTGTCTTCAACTAGCTCAAGTTTTGCTCACCACTATCAAAACATATCCAACGAAATAGGAAATCACCCATTATATACATATATGCTTAAATAAGATATCTCGAAAGGAATTACCCTCATTCAAATACTGGGTCCGAGTCCATTCTTCGGTTCTTTCATCGCCACATATAAAGAAAGAAAAGTGAAGCAAGTCAAAAGAAAGAAGAAAAAAAGAACTTTATACCAGAACTTGCATTCATCACCGTCTCTAGCGGGTATCTAGTTGAGCCCTCCACCATCACCAACCATCAACTTCTCATACTCGTGAATTGGTGCTTGTTGGATCCCACCCCCCACACATCCTCACGCATAGAAGGAACATGCCGCCCAAACGCCAGTCGTCCGCATCGTCTACAAACTCCACCACAGCTGCCCCTGGCGCTGGATCATCCGGTGATTTCTACGCAGCAGATGAGTTCACGAGGACAGTAAAGAAGCGATTGGCAACCGCTACAAGAACAGGTCAAGCCTGCGACCGCTGCAAGGTGTGTGATGTTTACTTCTTTGTTGAGCATCCTAACCTCACGATTCGATGGCTGGAGGTCAAGCCCCGGGAATTGCCGTGACTGATGTTGTCAATTCGTAGGTCCGCAAAATACGATGTGACGGATTACCAGGAGGATGTTCGCCATGCATGCAAAATCGTACTGAGTGTAAAACCACGGATCGAATTTCCCAAAAGGCTGTACCACGGGGTTATCTGGAAGCTTTGGAAGCTAAATGTGCGCTACTTGAGCAAAAGAATAAGGACATGGAGGATACGCTGGCGAGGATGGGAATGGAAAATAGGAATAACGGTTATCAACCTCGAAATAATAACCCAAACCCGGACTGGGCTTTAAATGGGAGTCGGCCTGTGGTCAATGACCGATGGGGGAACGGTCGGAAGGACTTTCAGGCAACGCCCACGGCCTATTCTTCCCCTAGCACTGGATGCTGCACTGCTACAACGAACGATAGGCTCTGCAATTCCATAAGGACAGCAAGTTTTCGACCAGGAAGCACTAGCTCACACTATCTTGGAATATCTTCTGGGTCTTCGTACCTGAGCTCTATTAAAGCATCTGCCCTATCGCTTCTTGGTATCGACATTGATCTATCAGATTTAGACCCCAACGAGCCGAATCATCCTTCGAATGCCAATGATGAAACGTTCAGCAGCTGTCTATCGACTATCTTCAATGTCAATCCAAATGTTCCCAAGGTCGAATTGCCCCTTAAGGAAAAGGCATACGAATATGTGAATTGGTTCTTTGCGGTCTCTCATCCTTATCTTCCTATTCTCCACCAACCAACATTTATGAAAATGGTAATAAGCTTAGCTCTTCCTACCATGAATGAGTCGATTTTGCGATGGGCCGTGATACTGACAGACAACCGGTTTCATAGCTAGAAAGAATATATACAGACAAGACTTACGAACCTAGCCCTGCTCAGATTGTAATGGTTCACATGATTTTTGCAATTGTGGATTTCCAAAACGCATCACAGGACCGCATGGTCAATCGCGGTCACAATACAACGTTATCAACCGAAACAATGCAACGTTCACGGATGCACTATCATTACGCGCTTTCCTTTTTTTACGGGCTTTTAAATACCTCTGGCCTGGAGGATCTTCAAGCCATTGGCTTGATTTTGCAGCACATTAGGGGGTTTCCAAAGCCTGGTGGAAGCTGGCTTCTATCCCGAATTGCTATCTCCATGTGTTTCGAGCTTGGTCTCCACCGTTCACCCAAGAAGTGGGCATACTCAGGGTCGACGAATCCAATCGATATAGAGCTCCGGAAGCGTGTGTTTTGGTCTATCCTCACACTGGAGGTCTCGTTGAGCGCCAGACTAGGCAGGCCAATGAGTATCAGGGAAACCGATTTTGATGTGGAATATCCGGAGAGGCTTGATGACGAGTTTATCACAGAAACCGGATATGTCAAGCGCGAGGACGGCAATGAAGACTGCGCATTTGATGTTTCTATTGAAATGTTCAAGTTTACATCTCTTTACATCGAGATGCTTGGTACACTATATGCGCCTGCGAGACCTTCAAGAGAGAAATATGTTTCTTTGGTTGAAGAGCTTGAAGGAAAACTTATAAAATGGAAGGAACAAGCCCCCAAAAGCTTGAGTAAGTTTCCTTATTGGTACACTTTCCGATACTATTGACACTAACGCGTTAAAGGCCTTGATTCTCCAAAGCCAGAGAAGCGCTTTCAGGCAGCCCATCTACATTCATGGTTTCATGAGTAAGTCCTCCAATCGGAAAATTCCTACTACTTAAAAGAAGTATTATTAACTTGGCGCAGATGCCGAATTCTTATGCGTCATCCTTCATTGAGCCTTTCGCCGTCCCCATCGTTTACCAATGACTGTATTCGTATTTGTGTTGATTCGTCCCGACAAATCCTGCATCTAACCGACGAGCTGCGCAAGGGTAGCCACTACCTTGACACTACATGGTCTGGTGCTACCATACAGTTATTGGCAACATTGACAATTTTGTTTTCTGTATGGGAGAAGAGGGATACTGTAACTCCAGATGAAGTTGTCCAAGTCAAAACCGATATGGATCTTTGCATGGACATTATGGGTGATGTCGGAAGTTTGCTTGGTAGGACAGCCACTCTACAAATCTATCATGATGCATAATGCTAAAGAATTATACTAGGTTCGCCGAACAAGCTCAGAGAAGTTGTGCAAGTCTTGACGCACGGTACAATGGAGCTGCTTAATCGAAAGAGGGGTGAACAGGATCAGCGGGCACAGCCAGCTTCACGCGGTAGCCACAATTCTCCATATCCACCATTCACTGCCGGTCCTCCCCCTCCAGGATTTGTCCCATCATCTACCGGCGCATCAAAGATGCCTCCAACTTCACACATTACATCCGATCAATATCCTGCGGTTTACAACGCAGTTCATGACCTTCGAGGTGGGCATATCCCTATATTTACTGATGCCGCGAATATGGGATCACTGCCGGAAGACCAAAGTTTTGGTCATGTCACTACAATGGGACCAGCCCCATATAATGGCTTTGCTCAGCCCCCAGTTACCTTTGCATCAACGACCGAGCCCCCGACTGCGTCCGCCTTTGGTTGGTGGTCCGGCAACGAGTCATGGCGGGAATACGCACAATGCATAAGTACAATGGCTGGAGAGTTGGATCCAACGGAGACATATTCAGCTTCAGCGCTCATTGCTTTAGGTCGGGACTGCGATAACGGCAGTATATTGCGTCCTGATGCAAGTTCACATAATGGGACGCCCAATACTAGTGGTATCAGTCTGGGAACAGTTAATGCGACAGGCAGCCCAGGTGCATCTATCTCCACATCACGTAATCCTTATCCCCCACAAGAGACCACCAGTGCCTCTTGGCCGATACTAGCCGGGAGCTATGGATACGCAGACAGCTCAGCCCTGAGGGGAGTCGGTGGTGATACTGGGAATAATGGGTCCTAATTCTTGGTATTTTTGCTTTTTCTTTCTTAGGGGTTTTTCTTATTTTCCTACTCGGTTGCTTTTTACTCCGTTTTTTCTTTTGTTTTTCTTCTCTCCATCCGTCGTGCCTCACATGTCACCTTAATTCAAGTCATGCTTGAGCACCACCGCTAGCCACCGTGGTGAAGTTTTATCGACCTTGGGACTCTGTTATAATAGGGCGGTATTACCTACGTTGAGCACCAAAGTGGAGTTGTTTTATGTTTATGCTCACACACACCACATAAAAGCTTTCTTTCGGGCGGGTCTCCAATTTTTCACTTCTCTTTTCGGCAGATTTTTCTGCTTCTTCCATTCGAAAAAAAAACACACATACGCCTCTTCTTCAATTTTATTTATTTTTGCTCTTTCCTGTGATGATTATTTTATTTTATTTTTATTTCATATTCATTTCACTGTAACTATTGGAACACTGTATGTATGCACCCGCCATCTTCTTTCGGGGTCTCTATTCTTTTTCCTTCTTACATTTCTTTTGTTCTTATTTCCTTGCGTCGAACTTGTAAAGAAAGATTGATTGAACGAACATGTCCTAGAACTGGAACTGAAGAAAGAGGAGGAAAGTGTATGAGAAATGGTGCCACATATCATGTTTTTTTAAACCGCGGAATAAGAAATTTCAACGGTATATAACTCTACTATCACCTTACAAGCACAGAGCTGTGTGTAACGCAGCAGCAGCAGCACGTTGACGTAAACCAATACGACAAAGCAAAACAAGGCACTGCTAACCTGGGCCAAAGTGACACAGTGTGTTGAGAATAATGAATCAGTTCCAAGGACATAAAATAGTCGGTCACATGCGATGCCAGAGGTGTGAATAAGGTTGCAGGTCGAGGAGGACCGAGTCGGGATTTGGCAGATAAGCTTTTTCAGGCGCGGAGCTGACCCATCATCCCTCTTTCCGGATTGGGATTGGAGGTGGGGGAGCGGTGAGAGAGGATGGGTCAGGTTGAGGAGGAAGATTAAGAAGGGGGGTGGAAGGCGGGAGGGAGGGATGGAAGATCTGCCTGGAAGCTACGGTTGTTTCGGAACATAACGCTACTTCACATACATAACAACCATTGTACAAGATGTACATGTATGTATGCCAGTACGCGTCTCTTTCTCTCGTGATGTATATAATGGAAATATAGCAAAGTACAATAAATAGTTAATGCAAATATGGGTTGCACGGCCTTTTTTTATTCTTTTATTTTATTTTTATTTTTATTTTATTTTTTCCTTTTACAAGACCTGCGCCCCCCTCCCACCTTGAACGTCCCCTTTCATCCCATCCGAGCCATCATTATGCGTCGTAGCACGGCCGGCATTGCATCGGCATGATAATAATGGGGTCCAATTTGCAATGACCAGATGATAGGGTGGTGTGGCGGGTACCTACCTGTGGGAAGGAATCCCTCTTTCACGGTATTTCCTTTTTCTCATCCTTCTTTCGTTGAGAGGTTTGGGTTAGGTTGGTCGAGATGCAGTTGCTACCTACGTAAAGTAGGATCCGACGCATGTAGGTCTTGAGATGGGCGCGGTGCGGTCAAGCTGTACAACCGGGGGCGTTAGGCTAGGGCTAGAGTTCAGTATGGGATGCCCGCCCGCCCGCCCCCACCCCCTCTCACCCCCTCCCACCCGTCGAGCCTACCCGGAGAGAGCTGTTGTGATCTGTGGGATCGAGGGTAGATCCTAATTTCAAAACCTGTGCGCGGGAATACAGGGAGTGTTGATAGGGCGAGGATCTTGGTGTGATTGCGTATGCATCACTTGGATATGTGCTCTCGGGGGGTCTGTTGATAGGAAAGGTTCATCTCTGTGAATCCTTGTCGCTGAGACACAAGTCTGTTTAACCGTGTCCGCTGGTGGCTTCATTTATTATTTAGACTTTGGGGTACAGAAAAATGGCCGTTTACAGTACTTGTCCCACATGCGGTTCTTAATGGCACTGGAAGAGTAATCTATCTGTATCAACCTTTGTTTGAGACAATTTGCATAACCTTATTCATAATTGCCAAGACCTGACGATTGACCAGTAGGTACATATAGATAGATGGAATAATACTCGCTATCAACGCGAGTTTACAATAAAAAACAAGAAAACAGGAACAGCCTGGTTCAAAGAATGCCAATGTACGTTGAAATATCACAAGACGCTCAATGTACATAAACAGACCGGAGATCGTGGTACTTGAAACAAACATGGAAAAAGCAAACAAAATCGAGCAGAGAAGACTAAAACCGGTACCAAATAGCCAAAGTTCATGTCAATGTAAAGCCAAACCAAAAACAACCGATGTGTAAGATGCTGTATAAAACTAAAAACAATCCAAACCGGGTATGAAATGAAAATGAAAATAACCAAGCAATTGCTATCCCTTAGCCTTTCCAAATCCCAAGGGTTATGAAATGACACATGAAAATCCACCCCACTCGTTCCTTTTCCTCCTCGCTTGCTGAGAAATCGACAAGTTTATTCAAAAGCAGAGAGTTCTATAAAGCGTACTCCCAACAGTGCATATCTATGCTGCCATCATTTATGCCTGTACTGTTCCGTCCTTCTTTCTTCTACCCAAGAGTGTAGCATTATCTAGACTCAATTCAAATCCGCCAGGTTTCCTCTTCGTGGATCTAGCATGTCCGCCAGTATTGGTCTTCGGCGTGGTGGGGGACATTGGAGCTGTCGCTCCGACGCCCCGAGCAGCAGCAATAGCCCCAGCATACGTGCTTCCGGAGTTCAAATTGGTCTTCTTCAATGTTGCCTCCATCCCCGCAACATCATCGGCCTCATTATCTTTGGGGATCTTAACAGATTCTGCAATATCTTCTTCCTCGGAGTCGAATTCGTCTTCCTCGTTCAAAGGCTGAGCACCTCTGTATCCTTGCTTCCAGTTCTTACGACGTTTCCCTTCCTCCTCCATACGGTGAACTGCATAACCGACGTCGAATACCTCTCTCAAACTGACAACACCAGGAGACCTGAAATCCATCCGTTTGTTGGCTCCGGGCATACTGGGATCAGGGGTGAAGTCGGGCTCGATAGCCATCGGTGTGAACTGCATGTTCTGTTTGTGAATTGCAGGAGTGGCTAGAGGAGGTGCGTCCAATGCAGCCACGGTGGCCTCGTTTGTGTTCTTAATCCACGGGTGATTCATGAACTCCACGATAGTGTACCTCTTCACAGGATCGACGGTCAAAAGGTGCGAAACCAGATCCTGGGCTGATTTTGAAATATCATCCCACCATGGGGAGAGGAAAGTATATTGTCCCTTCGCAACCTTTTCCGTAAGGACTGATATGCTTTCGTCGTAGAAGGGCGGGAATCCACACAACAAAGTGTAAAGGACACACCCCAGAGCCCACATATCAACACTCTTGGAATAACGTTCATCTTTAACAATCTCTGGTGCTGTATACCCCACGGTACCGCAGGGAGTCATCGTTTGAGTATCCCACACGACCTTGGAGAGCCCAAAATCGGCGACCTTTATCCGCCCGATGCCGCCGCCGCCTACTCCAGGAATGAACTCGCCTTCGTCTTCTTTATCTTCATCTTCTGGTGATCGATTTTTAGGACTCTTTGTTGGAATGAACGGAATGGGTTCAAAAAGGAGGTTTTCTGGTTTAATATCCCTTGCAAAAGTGTTGACATTAGTCAATGATTGAATTGCGGAATTTAAGAAAGGGTCATTACCTGTGTACTACTCCCTTTTCCTCGTGGAGATACCTTAAAGCCTCCGCAACTTGTACAATGACATGTCTACTAAGATCCTCTGAGAAGTACGTAAGGCGCACTATTTGGTGAAATAACTCTCCTCCAGGACAGAGCTCTAATATAAGATAGTAATAACTTCGAGATTCTGAGAATGAGATCAAAGAGACGATGTTTTCATGATTAAGGCCCCGCATTATTTGGACCTCTTTCAGAATGTTTGCTCGCTATATAGATGTTAGTTTGCTATCCAAAGATACGGTCTGAGTTCTTGTGATTTGTAGTAAGCTTTGAAGAAATATGAAATGTAAATCCCCAAGGAAAGAAAGAAAAACAAGAGCATAATTTTCCCCAAAGAACAGTGGAGGTAATGGGCAAGTGATATTTGATAGAATGTGTTTAAGGAATATATCGCACCTCAACTGTTTTCGGTATCTTCTTGAAATCCGGATGAAGGTGATCATTACCCTATGAAAAAATTCCCAAAAGAAGTTGGCTAAAAGATTCCCGGAAACTCCATTTGGAGATATTTGGACCGGCTTGAAGCAAGGAAATAAATTTGAGAACAACAAAAGAAAGCATTATCCACATACCTGAGCCGCATTGAGTTCATATTTTCGGACGACTTTGATGGCAACTTGATCGTACTCTCCAGTGCTATCTCTCGCGCGGTAGACGTTGCTGAATGCTCCATCACCCATTTTTTCCAGCAATATCCATCGTTCGAGGCCAGGATATTTTGGTAATCGTTCTCGAGTCTCCCTTTCCTCGGCGACGATTCGCGCAAGTACATTCTCATCATAATTCTTTCCTCCTTGTCCACCAATACCACCAGCGGATACTCCCGCACCGATTTGAGAGGGCACTACACCAGGATCGTCGACCGGGAGCTTCTGATGAGCTGCTGTAGCGTTAGCTGCAGCATCGGCAGCCTGAGCAGCTACATTACGGTTGCCATCAGGAGCTACTGAGAAGTCTTGTTTCTGCTGATACTTCTTTTGGTGTTCGGCCTTTGAGTGGATTGGGTCTGAATGTGCATGATTTTGTGGAGCCGGCACCGATTGGGGTGAGCTATCTTGGTTATTTCGCGCCTGCTTGCCATGGCGGATGAAGTTTTTCAAATTCTGAAATTGCGTAGCCATCAGTAACGTATTCCGTTCAAATTGGTTATTCGATCAAACAGCTTATAACTGAGGGGTCAAAGATGGAGAGTACGGAATATCAATAGGTGAAATTTTCCGGAGGATATGATGGAGTAAACAATAGGGAATCAACCGAATTAATCGATCGGAATACAACGGAGCTTGGACAGTGGTAATGAGGGGAACTAAGAAGCGGAGTCTTGGGTTGAAGGTCAAACAAGGACGGACGAGGCGTTGCATGCAGCAAGCATAAGCACGATGACATGCCCCTCCCTCGCCCCACAAACGTCGTCATTCTCTCCGGCAGGGAAAATGGGACATGGTCAAGGGCCAACTTCCAGCCTCGAAAAATCCCGGGTCGCCTTATGATATCGAAAGGAATAGAAAGTGAACGGGTGTGGGAATAACAGAAAAGCATCAAACATATCCTGCCGTATGCAGGTATTGCTTACCTCTATCACAGGCATGACAGGTTCAAGGGGGGGTGTTTCCTGAAAAGTTGGATCGGTGAAGCTTGTATGTAGGTTGTCGATGTCCTAGGTGCGGGGGGTGAATGGATATTAAGTCCAACGGTGATGGCTGGTTAATAAAGTTGACTGAATGAGAAATGACAATTGAAAGAATAAGAGTACGGGGGGAGAGGATATGATAAAAAGGATTGCGTGGTGAAGATGATAAAGGTCAGAGCTAGAGGCAAAGGCTTTCGGCAGCCGGATGGAGGGGTTTCGTCACTCAGATTGTCACTCGGCGGTTTGGTTTGCTTTTGTTGGAATCGCAGCTGAGGAGGCTAAGGGTTCAATCAAGACCAAAAGCCCACCAAACTTCATCTCCTGCCCTATCAAATACTTAAGTACCGGTACATAGACGCGTTTACTACATGTAGATATGCACTTGGTTTGAGGTTGGTTCTCTAACTAGATGTATCTATCTGGCGAGTGTTGCGCTGGTGTCTTGCTATGTACTACAATATTAAGCTGGGAATCCTAGCCAGAATCAGCACCATCATCACCACAAGCAGCCGAGAAATGTTTACCAAGCATTCTCCAGAAGACAAGAAGAGACAGGGTCTTATCCTGAGAGTGATGAGTCGATTCAGTGTTCTTTGTCCAAAGAGGCCCAAGATCGGTGTCCCGGCCGCCTGGCTCAGCCTTTGTGGAGTTCTCTCTGCAGGCGGGGTCTCATGATGCACGATGACGATAAAGGTTGATACGGCAGGCTCCCCTGCAAGAGGAGTTTGATACAACAACGTCATGCCTTGATTTGGTCTCTCTTGGCTCACTCTCTTGACCGTCATCTCGTCGATACAATTTTGGAAATAATCTTGTTTCTATGGCGCTGGCCTGCGCAACAAACCCATTTTCATTGCAGTGACTTGCTCAGTGCACAGATGCAATATCGTGCTTTCCTGTGTGGGTAATACTCTCTCGGGACATACATACTGCAGCTTTTCCCCTCGCCTGAATTCCAAGGGTATGGGGTGGATAGGTGGACAGATGAAAAGACATCAACATCAGGAACAGAAAACGAAAAGCCGTCAGTCCCTCCTAGCCGCCGTCATCATAGTGGAACTCCGGGCTTTAAATCGCTAATGGAGTGTGATATCTAACCCCCCCCGCACCTGCCCCGCGAGCCTTGTGCATGCACGTGTTCACTTTTGTTTTCTTGTCAGGTACCCGCAAGGGACGGAAGCTTGGTAAATTCCACACCCCACATGCGGCTCTGTGGTAGAGATCCACCACGTATTTAACTAGCGATGTATGACTCCTACGACTCAATTATTAGGATCACATGATTTGTCCTACACTTCAAACTCTAACGATTCTCAAATACAGGGAAGAGCCCATGTGATTGATATGATGCTATTTAGTACTTATAGGCCTGGTTGATTGATGGGAATTAGCACCTACAACACTAACGAGGTATTGAGTTATCCTGTAGCTGGCGGTACATAGTACCAGCGGCAGAGAACTAGCTCGCCTATATACTATTTACTCGTAGCTTCATAGCGTTTCCGAACACGACCAATATTGCATGACATACAAAAAGGTGGATTTGGCGCTTTTTTGTATGGCATGCAATAGCAGTCGTGTTCGGAAACGTCATGAAATTAGTAGTAGAGATGAGCATCAACGCAAAGCAACTTTATTAAAAGGCGTTTCAGTCAACTACCATATTTCAGAGCACAAAGACTACATGTAAGCTGCCATCCCCCACCATGCGCGCCAAAATCAATTGGGAGAAATTCCTCGAAAAGTGAAATTGACCTTAGAGCGCTAGATGATGTAGGAATCTCTTGGTGCTCACTATTTATGTAACAGCCTTGGATATCAGCGCGACTGAGACAGGCTTTTGTCGGCTAGCTGGCGCTGATCTTGATATCAAACCGAATTCCGGATCAACAATATGGTATGGTTCAATATACCCGCGTGTAGCATAAAGAAGCAGAAAATGCAAATGCTTAGTTTGTATGGCAGATCGGCGCCACTCCATACAAATAATCCCTGCTTTGTCACTTGCATTTTCTGGTTCTTATTGCTACACGTGAGTATATCTAAAGTAATAGTCTATGTGCTAATATCTAGATTTTTTTTTGATATCCTGTTAAGTACCAAGATGAAATATGGAGATCAACTGCAGGAAGTGCAATAATAACAAGGCATTATCTATCTAACGAGGGGTTTTTTTTTTGAGGCACGAAACATCGCTTTGTTTGGTTACCTAGGCTGCGAGTGCATCTTTCCCGCAAGAACAAAATTAAAACAAACCGGAATATCAAGCATAGTCCGCCAACAGGCCTGTGTGTTACGCATCCAGATCAAAATCCAGTAGATCGTACTTTAGTTAGCTGTCAGAATGCAGATCATTAGCGGAGTATTGATGAGTGTCGAATCCATTATGATGCCCCACAGATTTCTCGTATGTATGGCTCGAGAAGCTATGGTGGGTAGGTGTGTAAACTTCATGGTAGATCGGCGCCACTCCATACAAATAATCCTTGACTCTCGAACTCGTATTTTCTGGTTCATATGCTGGTAAGCAAGTATGTATGTATGCTGACCAAGGCCCAAGTTCAAGTCGCCGAAATACTATTTAAAAAGCCGTTCACTACGGTTCTATGATGCGAGCCACACTTCTACTCATATCCTACTCCACACTTTTTCAGACTGAGGTAGAAAATCGTTTCCTCAACCGGCCAGTTTTCACTATGTACTCATCTAAGACTGCTAGAATATTTGTTGAGCAATGGTTCTCTCACTCAAAGTAAAGCCCCAGCCAAGTTTTTCTTACGCGGATGCGGGTTCATTTAAATTCCGTGATGCTTGCTCGTCTGTGGCCGTGTACGACGCTGCCCTTTGCCAATAGATAAAGGCCACACCGCGTTTCCAGCTGCGCATAAAAAGCTAGGAGCCTCTTCACTTCAGCTCTATTCACTCAAGTAACCCGTGCCATTACATAAGTCTAGGCTTTGCTCAGGATTGAGGCTACTGCACAGTACCACATTCGATAAATCTACATCTACAGTCGCAACTCGATATGCCGGATCTCAATACGCCGGATTCCTTGCTATCCCGTACGAAATCCTCTGGGGTTTTGGTTTTTTTTTACTGCAAGATCAATTTGCTATCCCGGATTTTTTGCTATCCCGTATGAAATCCTTCGAATCTTGGCAATCCGGCATATCGAGTTGCGACTGTACATGTAGCTATGACTTTGGACCGCATGTAGTTAGGTTGGTAGCTACCACATGTAGCTACTCTACCGCAAAGTATAAATTTGCAGGGGCGGCCTTGAGGGTTAAAAGCCCCAGGGTCCAGTGACAAATCACCAACTAGATCCTTCATCTCGATGATATCGTCTTTTCGCCACCGAGTATCATCATTGGCCACGAATTTTTTCCCAAGAATCATGCTCCTGCGCTGTGCTTGAAGGATTGTGTTGATTGGCATGGATTCGATCGGCTCATGCTTTTGGGTGTTGAAAACCCCACCTCTGTCACCACAGAAGCTGCTCTCATTCGCGTGTCTACCATATGCACCCACTATTTTAAAACCCGAGCTATCTACTTTTGAGATCTATGGGCATACCCCTACAATGCTATGACTACTGGCAAGAATGGAGCTTGGGGGCTGCTCCAGCTGTTTCCATCGTGATCCAATGCACACCAATTATATGCGATTGTGTGTGATAACAGCACTCATCCCATCCACTGGCCTATATTTTCAAACCACCTGCAGAAGTTTCACTTGACGGTTGGACTCGGCTCCCATGATCCCTTTGGCTGGAGCTTCTATTCCCCCAAATCATAACAACCAATCAGAGAGCAAGAATGAATGGCCTGGTTGTACCGTAGGCTACATGTATGTAGTCAACCATCGACAGCAGAGAACCGCAGTGCAACTTTGGTATGGTTATATAGTGTTTATGAACTGGTTCGAGATACTACGGTACTTTAAAGTGCCTATATGATCATTATATTTGTGTCGGAATGAGGCAGACAGCATGGTCCAATTTTGATAGCCTACAATACCGTAGATATCATGGAGTACTGTAATCCTAGCATGTAGGTACTTGCGCAATTACCTGCCTACCAACAAATACCTATTCGGAGATTCCTCCCAGCGATTGATAGCGGATCACCTTCGGGTTCATTCCCGCTGATCTCGTACTCTCAACCACATACGGGCATGTAAACGTGGGTCGCCTTCCACACGGCGCTGAAGGCCCATTATTAACTAGAGAAACATCCATTTTCCCTGCTTTTGCTGTATCTACTGCGCTACGCTACGCTACCTGTAATAATAGCTTCTCATACATATACATTTAGCGCAACAAATTTTTTACTTCAACGTTTCAATTTTACTCCACCACCGTATCTCCAAACATCTCGCTTTGCCCTACAGGAGGACTGGAATACATTATCAGTTGACGCCCTGCTTCACCGTCGTCTGCTCTAACAGGAGGAAGGAAGGAAGGAAGGAAGAAGCGCCTAGAGATCCTATCGCAAAGACCTGTTTCTAGTAACACGACGCAACACGACACAGCGCAACGCAACGCAAGGGGGATTCAGGAGAGAAGTTACTTGTTTGAAGGGAAAATAGAAGAGAAGGAAAATCAGCAACAACTTTACGGCCGATTACTTGTACCTACATCTGTACCTGTACGCAGGTGTATCCTAGATTTCTGTAGGCACTTTACCCAACTACCTACAGGTTTTGCGGTTCAGCCCCCCCCCCCCCCCAGTTCTACACGCCTTGTCCTGCAAAGAAGAGAAAAGAAGCAAAATAAAATACAGGGTTTCCTCGCCCTCGGCCTACAGAAAAATAGAAAGCTAAACCCGGGGTTTCCTTCCCATTTTGCCGGCCGAGGAAGTCACAGCACTACTGATAGGCCGGGATTCAGAGAGGGAGAGAGAAAGAGCTTCTGCAGTGCATTGCGCCGGATCGCCTTGTGTTTCTTTTCGGGGCTCGCCGTTCTTCTATTTTGGGGACACGATTATTCAATCAGTCCTCAGCTTCTCCTCCAGCTTCTCCTCTTTTCCCATTCTTTTCTTTGGGCAGGCTTGTTTGTCATTCTGTTCTGTTCTTTCCCGGTAGAGGCGTAGTACCTGGACCCAGCTGTCACACTTATTATTATTATCATTTTGGCTTTCTACCCCGCCATGTCGCTCTCAGCAGCTCCCCGATCAGCTACAACAACAATAACAACAACTTCGGCGGACCCAGCTTCGCCTCCAAACATCACCCCGCACCGAAGGCTTTCGCGTAAAAGAATTCCTTCACCTCCTCGTAATGCCGCCTTTGAGAGCTCCCGTGTGCCACAGCTTTCGCTACACACTTACCCGAGCACAAGCTCATTAGCTGACCTCTATACTTCACATGGGCGGATGACACCGGGTAGACGCTCTCCAGTTGGTTCACGATGTTCCTCGCGTGGTGGTGCCAAAATTGGTTTTGACAGCGGGGATGAATTGCAGATGCTCACTGCCATTATTCCGGCTTCGCAAGCCAATATCAATCTCCCACCAACACCACCATCAGGAAGTGGGGGGGAAGGTGATGACGATGAGGGTGGCGTGCCACTGTCTCTTGATTTCGATGGAGTCTTTGGGACGTCCCCAAGGAATCGTAGGGTATTGAGAAGAGTCAAGGCCAACATTCATGAGGTCTCCCCATCACAGTCCAGTTCAGCCCCCATGTCAGCTGCGTCTGATTCTACCACCACTCTAAGCTCGCCGCCAACGCCGCCGAAGGAGCAAGCCATAATGGCTTTGCACCATCCGAGACCTCTATCAAAGAGTCCGAAGAGCGCCTATTTCCAAGACAGTTTACTGGTAGCTGCACAGATGCAACAGGCCATGGAAAGTGGTATAGATGCATACCATCGTGGAGTTGGTTTGAGTGGAGATTATCACACTGTGGATCAACCCGACCCGCGCTTTGAAAGTGATGAAAGGGATGAGGAGCCATTTGAGGTTAGGAGGGCAGAATCAATCAAAGTTACTAAGGCAGAATCAATCAAGGTCAGAAAGGTCGAGGAGCTGGAGATGAAGAGGGCTGAGGAAATCGAGGCTGGGACTGGAAAGGTGGAGGAGCCCGAGACTGGCAGGATATATGTGCAACTTGAACCAAACATGTCAGAGCAGCTTGATGATAGAGATAATGCACCAGTTCAGGTCAGCACAACGCCGGATTCAATTGAGCCCAGCAAAATCGAAAAGGAAGAACCATCACAGCAACCATCCAGTCATAGCCGTAGCTTGGAGCCCGGAGAGCAACTACGATTGGCAGCATCGACACCCCTACTAGAGGCCGTTGTCTTTTCTGAATCAGAATTCGATACAGCTACGGAAGGAGATGAGGATGACGATTATGCATATGGTGGATCAGATGCAGGAACTATAGTTATAAAGCTCCAAACAACTGTTCAGGAACAGAAATTACGGGAAGAGGAGGAGGTTAGAAGACAAGAGGATGCTACCAAAAGACAAGAGGCAGAGGAGGCCAACCGCCGAAAAGAGGAAGCCAACAGGCTAGAAGAAATGGCTAGACAAGAGGAGCTTGCTAGACAAGAGGCGGAAAATAATGCGGATGAAAGTGAAGACGAAGAGCTACCTCAGCATCCGATCATTGGCAAAGAAGGACGGAAGCCTACACCCTGGCCAACACCCCGGGTCAATTCCTATGCGTCATCTTTAGACATAGATAGAAGAGCTGAAACGGGCTCCCCGCTTAGTGAAGACGGGGATCTGGAGTTTCACGATGCTCTATCATCTCCTCTTGCTTCTCCTATAATCACGCCTCGCGAAGAGGAACTGGCACTGCCAAATCTGACACCCCAGGTCACACCTAAAAAAAAGAGTGAATTCGTGATCTCGTTTGGTCCCACACCAACACGCTCCAACCCTGGGGATCCATCGCCATCGACCAACTCAGTGCTTCCGCAACTCCCCCAGAATCCATCTCCACCTGGACCACCGGTATTAAATATTATTCCTGCAACCCCCATGCCACTCATGTCGCCTAGCGCTATGCAGGAGAAACAGCTAGGTCACTCAATGCCGCTTCTGGAGCGAAGATCAACAGAAATTCCCACACTTATCACTACCTCACCGACTCTTCCCCTTGCGGCCCCGCTTGTACCACCAAGACTTAAGAAAGCTCAACGTCCATCGCTACTTTCCCAGCCGAAACGTATGCGGGAATCCAAATTGCACCCCTGGTGGCGCCCTCGTATTGAGAATGCTGAGGATGAAGGATTGTCTCGATCATTCACTACACAAACACAGGCTTCTGAGTACTCGGTTTCTAACAGTGGTGTGCCTGGGAAGCCTGATGGGAAACGTGGGGGAAGAGTTACAAAGAAGATTAAGGGAACAAAATTTCAAATTGAATTTATTGGCCTGGGGACTCTGAGGGAAAAAGTTAAAGTTGCTGGAGAGAAAACCAGTGGGTTGGGGAGAAGAATGTCCTTGAGGAAAAAGGCGTAGTATTTATATCTGATTTTGATGCTTGTTATGAGGACGATGATTTGATATGATATGATACTTGCTACGATACGATGTGATGCGATATTGATGTAGTTTTTCCATGTTTTGTTTTTTCCTTTGTCCCTTTTTGAACCTAGCATGGAAAACTGATTTAGCGACTCGATTTTGGAACCAGGAACTGGTGGTAGTTTGTATTGGCGAATTTAGTGTTGTTTGGGAAGGAGTTTTTTTGTTGTTAATATATCTCCCCAACTAATTTCCTTCATTTTTGTTACCTGCCGAGTTTGCTGGTCACTCGTAACGTTTATTATGTTTAGTCTTGCTAGCTTACCTATCAAGTTATGCCCATCACGGTTTCACGAAATATCTTAATTACATATTCCGGTCATGAATGTTCGCAAAAATCAGAGGTTCATGCGATGAACTGATGATATGGATGTTATTGTACATTTGCGGGGAGGGAAAGGTCGTAATTTCATCCTATCTAATCCTCTTCCATGGCCTCAATCCTGTTCTCCGCCTTTGCCACATCGGCAGAAAAACTGGCTTCTTTATCTACCATCTCCACAAGTACACTTACGATATTCTCCTCGATGCCTCTCTTCCCAAGTTCCTCCAAATGTTTCTTTGGATCTAGCTTTCCAACATATCGTGTCTTCAATTCGTCCTTGCTCAAATCGTTTTCCTCTTTAACACGCTTCTCATAGGCTTCAGCAAGACCAACCATCTTCTCGAGACGTTCCTGGTTCTCTTTTGCGGAGGACTTGAAATCTTTCATTGTAAGCCCCTCAGTCCAAACGGTTTTGTGGAGGTTCATCAGCATGTTCTCCTCCAGATGAGTCTTTCGATAATTGATAGCGATAGAGTAGTAATGTCTGTTAAGACCATGGATGAGAGCTTGAATTGACGGTTTATTAAGGTGCCCCAAGTTGGAAGTCGTCTGGCGGGGCTCCTGGCCAAGCATTAGGGACTGAGGGTTGATGAGCCGGAAGGCGTCGATGACGACTTTACCCTTGACAGACTGGATAGGGTCGATAACAACGGCGACGGCACGTGGGGTAAGTTGTTCAAAGGATTGTTGAGTGTTAATGTCGACACTTGATAGCCAACAGCCAAAACCGGGATGGGAATGGTACCAGCCAACGACTGTTTCTGGTCTAGATACCGAGTTTGAGTATCATTCACTAATATATTGAGCTTCATCATTCTTACCTTCCGGTTTGTCTTAGCATATCCATCATCTTGGTCTGAAATACAGGGTCGACAGCTTCAACAGAAACACCAGTTCCGCTCTGTGGCATCGCAAATACATCCACCACACGAACAGTGTAATCATCTACAAACTCTCCAAGCATGAGTCCCATGACTTCCATTGGTACACCTAGTAATCCATGGTAGTCAGTATCGATCATTTCGTAAAATCATTTGCTTTATCAAAGCTATGGAAACAAACCAGCTC